TTTGTTGTTGCCATTCTTTGGACTAAAAATTTGGTTTTTTGCGTTCCTTTACTTTTCCTGTTATTCTCTTTTAGTGAGCGCATTTTGCTTACGCTCTGGCATTTTGACACTTCAGATTTTAGTCCAAAAAGATAAGGAATGAACCTATTATTGAATCATGGGCTGTGAGGTATCAAAAATGTCAAAATTCCTTGGACACATGCGCGAAATAATGGCAATTTTTTCTTGACCGTTTTCTTGAGAGCTGCATACAGGGCTAAACATGAACCAAAAATACAAGATCACGTAAGAACGCGACGTTGTATTTGTAACTGGTTTTGAGAAAAAAGTTTGCGAAAGCGGGTTCGTCAGCTGGGCGTTTGTTTACATCACAAGCACCACTATTTTACACTTTTATTCAAGTAAAGAAGAGTTAATTCAACATGACAACGCATTTTAAAGCATTTTGTTGCATCATTTTACCTAAATTGTGCGTTTAAAGTGGCTGACAATAATTTTGGCTAATTTTGGTTTTCGTTGTTTTCTTTGCTTTGTTTACTTTTCGCTCGTTTTCCAGTGAAACAAGATGGCGTAGAACCCGCTAAAAAATTGACTTTTTTCACTCTCTTCTTCTTACGTGATCTTGTGTCTTTCGTTCATGAGGGCTTAAGCAAAAACAGCCCATAACACAAAGCGCATCAATACAAGGTGGTGTACAAAAACATCGCCGTGTGTAAATGAAATGAGCAATACCAAAAGGGAATATGGAAAATTGCGTCGACAAAAGTTTGCGTGTATAAACACAGACTTAGAAGGTCTTAATTTTTACTATGGGAGCGTAAACTGTAGACTTTAAAACCGTTTTTCTCGAGATTTTGAGTTTTTGGATTATGCCAATATGTAATTGGGCACTTGAAATTTATCCTATATTTGAAAAACAGTTTGCATGTATACTTACATTTACAAGGGCTGGTTTTTTTACGAAGTGTTTGCATGTTGGACTCTTTCCAATTCTTCTTCGCCAATTTGCGAAGTTTCCTGTATTGAGTGGCTATTTTTGGGTTATTTTTTTAATATTTTGCTATAAATACTTTATCTAGTATTCATGTATCCATTAAAACTAAATATTTAATTTTTGGTTTGTGGAAGGAAATACTTTAAATTATATTATATCACAGTTATATACAAAAGTATGAATATCTCAATTGAATAACAAACACAAATTACATGTTTCAAAATGGTACAATTGTCATTTTCATTAGCTTCACACACTTTTCATATTTATGTATCGTCGCGGTTTATTAATTTTCTTTTCTGTTACTCACGGTATATTTCATTGTACCACTTCTAAGTATTATATGCAGTTGATTAGGGACGACGAAATGCAATGCAATGCCATGGAAAAGCTTCCCCACCCACTACGCTGTCACTTCTCTCGTTCATTATTTATTTGCTTTCATTTTTATTCGTTTTGTTTACTTTTCGCAATACGTACATATGTTCCGTTTCGTTTTTGTTTTTAGTTGTTATTGCACACCTCTTTCGTTGTACTCTTTTCTTATTTGTTTAATTTTTGTTGTTATTGCTTCGTATTCTCAGTCGATGAATGACGAAGAATGCGATATTTTTTTGGCCGACTGTCTGACAATATGCCCGCATCACCGGCATTTCGAATACAGCAACTTTTATCGATTTTTCACTACAACAACGCCTCAGGGGTAGTGATGAGGCAATTTAGTAGGCATGGCGTACAGTATGCGACGTGCAAGCGGAGGGATGTGCTCATTTTTTGCAAAGGATTCAAATTTTTCAATAACTTTATAGAAAATCCTTTTTAGAAACAGCTTTTTCCCCTGCTGTGTGACCATCTAGCACCAACGACCGATAGACAGACACAGTTATGCACCACAAATACTACACACTAAAAAAGATGAAACTTAATAACGGCACACTTTTGTTATAACTTCCGTTTAAATTGTTGCATTTCTTACTGCTTATAAAATGCAATGCTTTTCACTTAAACTTTTGATTTTATACGTGCGGAAATTCAATTTTCTTTTTAGGTCCAACGCCTTTCATTGTCGCAAAACGATGACCGAATTAGCAGCTGCATTGGAAATTCAATGACGGAAAAGGATATATGTAGGAAGGATAAGAAGTAGATGACATGTGACACCGTGAATGGTTGCTGTACTATACTCTACGCTGGGGTCTTTAAGGTACAGAACATATAGTATTTTCCGAGATGCTGATAAAACTCAAGTATGTTTAAAAATCTAAGTTTTTTAAGCAATGCTAATCCAAATTATAACTTTTTCAGAATTCCTTTAAACTTAGCGCTTGGAAAAGTTAGAAATTTTAAGAAAGTAAAATCAATATTTTAGGAGCTCTACTGTGAACGAGTTTAAAAACCATCCATGCCATCGCAGCATTTTAGTACAGTTTTTTTTTGGTACGACTTCGCCTTTACTTGAATTCAATAAAACAATTTGTTTTCAAAACCTGTTATATATATAATGTAACTGCCCGTCTCCACAGGATAAAGTTTTTATCTTGATAAATATAAATATAACTAACCAATGGATACCGCTCATTGCCTATCAAGAGCAATATATATCAGAGCTTACATATATCTTGCCATCTATTGCCAGCTATATGGTTGTTTGACAGCTACATTTTCATTTGCACGAAACCTTTGTGGCGGCAACATTATTGATATTTTAATATAAAAGCAGAAATTGAATTGTTTTTTATTGAAATATTTGTTATTATGAACTTGGATGTGAAATAGCATATTATCAAAAGTTGTTAAGCTATTAAATCCGGCAAAAATACTTGTTAGAAGTCATCTTAAAAATGCTTTTATCAAGATATAAAAATCACTCACACAAATATATGTGGCAACCTAAATAACAGCTGTACAGCAATAAAATTTATACTGTAGAGCCGGCCAGCAAGGGATTTTTTTACTTTTTCTCATAAATAAAACTTCCCGTAGAATTAAATTAGATACTTATTGTGCAATATTATTTCATTCATATCAATATTTTAACACACCTCAATATTTTATTGCGCAATTTTATTTGCACCTTCAATATTCATCACTTTTACCTACCTACAAAAAGCGACCCTGATCTATGGCTCCAGCAGCGGCAATTGGAGCAACTCCAGTTGGTTGGTGCTTTCAATGTTGCTTTTATTCAGTCTTTCTTTTGCGCTGGTCTGGTAGTCGACTTGTTATTTGGTGTTTATCGCGTGGCAGCTAAGCAACGTTTATTAAATTTAAAAATAAATTCTAAATATAAATTGTGAAAATTATAGTTAACAAATTGTAAAACGAGTGTACATATTTCAATCGATACAGCGACAAAAAGCTAGCAAGTATCTGGTTTGCTAACTTGGTAAAAAATTTCCAATTGGATATTTTCAGTTGCATACTTGAAATCAAGCCAATTGCTGTTGTTGATCGTGTCGTTCGTTCTGTTCGAGTTTCAAAAGTGCACAAAGCAGAAAAGCAAAAATAGTGTGTGAAATTGGTGTGAAACGAGGACCGAAAGATCTGTAAAAGGCGAATTCTTGTTAAAGCTTCACCCTAGTACACAAACAACGTCTGACACCAACTGGAATTTTCTGATTGAATTTCTTTGTGCTGTTTGTTAGGAGTTTTAAGTCATATTTCTATTCTATAGTTTGTGAAAACCAGCAACAATCATTCGAAATTCATCTAAAACAATAAATATTAAATTTGGAGCTAAATTTTCTGCACAATAATAAAATTTCAAATCGGCGACTCAAGTTTAATTTTGCAAATTGTAAAAAGGAAGTGCGTGATAGATATAATAGAACAAACGGGTTTAACAAAGGCATTTCGCGTGTGCGTCTGAAGCAAAATTAAGGTGACACAATTTTTTGGGCATATTTGTCCATAATCCTGTGAAAAAGTTTACTGCACTGCAACAGCGTCTTTTGGGTGAGGCATATAGTCGTGCGCACGCGTGATCTACGGCATCAACAGGCAAAGTAAATTGACGATCAAGTGAAAAAAATAGCAGCTACTAAATACGAGCAGGAACGTCGCAAAATGAATAAAACTTGTGCACGTTGCCAGAAAGTGGTGTATCCCATCGAGGAGCTTAAGTGCCTGGACAAAGTGAGTTGAAGTTTAAAGAATTTTATCTTATTAAAAATGTATACACTTTCATAGATATTTATTTGTGTTTAAGAATATGAAATTGGGTGAAAATGCGGATCATGATCACTTTAGAAATTCCTGTAGGCTGTGTATCGGCAGCTGGAAACTGGTTATCAATTTATATGTGTACAAAAGGGACAACAGGTGTGCTCGAGTGAGCTTTCTAGCCATGTTTCCCTACCATAGCCAGATGAATCTGCAAGAAAATTATAAATTCAAACGCGAATGATATAAAAAGCATTCGGCTATTAACTGAACTTTTATCAAAGGTAGTAAGGCAAATATCGCATTGTCCCGATTAAATAATAATTTTTGTATATACATTTTTAGGGGCCGGTTAATCTTCCCTTACGATCCTTGTGTATATAGTGCCATTTTCTCATTTAGGGTTTAAAATTTATCTGATTTTTAAACACATTTTTTCAGAACATAATTTGTGTTTAAAGGGCGGCTAAATTTTAAAACCTACATGAGAAAACGGTCCTTAATCAATAATAATAATAATAGATTGGCGCTCACACAATGTGTAAGTGTTTGGCCGAGCTCCTCCTCTGATTTGTGGTGTGCGCCTTGATGTTGTCACACAAAGGGGATGAACCTTCCGTTTTACTCCGACTCTGAACGGCGAGCGTATTTTTATGAGAAGCTGTTTTCATGGCACCAAACACTCGGATGTTTGCCATTGCTTACCGAGGGGCGAGCGCTAAGTATTCGAATTTTTTTTTTTATGTTGTCAGAAACTGGGCCCATACCCAGACCCTGCGGAATGGTACGGCGTACTGCTTACCACTACATCACATCGGCCGCTGTGTATTTAATTGATAATCTTAATTTTCCGCAAGCTGATCGCATCATCATCCATACTAATGTTTGTAATTAGCTACTTAACAAATGCTGCATTTATGGAATATAATTTTATAAAAGCAAGTCCGTACAATTGTCGCCCCATCACTACCCGATTTATGTCTGACCAAGGAGGTCTTTAACTCCAGCTTCACGCCCCAAAAGCTCTGGGGAATTTATATGCATATATATATATATATATATACAACAACAAACGTTTTAGTTGAGAGACATGTTAACTCAACCATGTCAAAGGCGCTGAACTACGAAACAATTTGTAGGCACCGGTGGGCTCCTTCAACGGCTATAGGTCAATGAAATTCTGCTAAATACATGTAAATAATAAAATTGTCGAAGAAGCCGAGTATTCAAAAAACCACAGACCGGAAGTTGGAAATTGCAATGGCGTATGAATGAGGCAATTGTAAATGGAAATCCTTGCGCTTGAAGTTTGTTATTGTTATTGCACAACTCATTGTTGAAGCTATTTTTGTTTCTATGATCTCTGTAGTAAAATGTACATATTTTATTGTTGCAATTCGCCATNTAGAGGTGTACATATGTATATTGTAAAGTTACAATGTAAGCGAGTGAAGTCAAAGACGAGCCAAACTGATCGTGAAGCTAGGCCGGTTTGTGTGCTCACTCGTCGGGTTGGTGTCTGGGTAACAAGCAGTAGACAGCATCTGCCAAATGAAATTATAAACTAACAAAAAAGCGAGCGTACATATGTACATACTTCTGTACATAAATATGTATGTGTCTTTAATTTCTTTATTTTAATTAAATTATTTGTGCTGTGATTCCGCAGTGGCTGCTGCTGCACTCCACCCAACTCCTGTCTCGGCAGATGACGTGAGAAAATGTGGTTTTGCTGCTCAACTGGTTGCAGTCTTACATGCATACTCATATATTCACTACTTGTAGGCAGTTGCTGCTACTCGTGTGGCTTTCAACGTGCAAAGTACCTACAAGAAAAAACTAAAGCTGGAAGAACTTGCTAAGAAGTTGAGTTAATTATAGAACTTACATATGTGATTGCTACAAATGAAAATAGGATGGTGGGAAAAGTATTAAAAGAAGGAATAAGGAAAGACAGAAGGGCATTGGTAAAATAATTCGTCTACAGGGCGAAAATTGCTCACAAATTGACTGTATCAATGTCGAGCGTAAAAGAAAGCATGCAACAGCAGCGTTTTGTTGGCAAATGTGTACGAAAATTGCCACGCAAAATATCGTCAATCAACAAAAGTCAACAGTAGCAGCCACATTAGCATTGGAATGCCATCAAATGCCGCTGGCATTTAGTGTACGTGGGTGCAACAATAGACACATTTGAAGTTTAAAAGCTGCTTAACCACTTCATCTGCCAGCGGAAATTCCACATTTTTAACGAGCAGTCGGTAGCTGGTAGGCACTTTAGAGTAATTTTACTATTTATTTACAAACATACACACACATTTACTTGCAGAAACTTTGAAATGAAAATTTAGGCACTACCATCCAGTATCTTCTGCCATTTGCCGGTGATTGGCAATAGAGAAATGACAGTGAAACGTTAAAAGAAAATGTAAATTTTTGTATTTAAAAAGATATCTACTACATACATACATCCTTTACGTTGGTCAACTGCAAATGGCATGAAATTGCCTCAGAGCCATTTTCAAAAGGCTGTAGCGCACTTCAATTGCTGTAGCGCACTTGTGGGTCTCTTGCATATCGCTCGCTGGCCTGGCCTATGGCTTGTTCCGGTCTAGCCGGATTTTTGTGTGTTTCCTATTTTTCGAATGAGCTGAGATATGCTGTTGCTTGCTGGTATCTACGTAGGCACTTTTACTCTTATGAGTGTACGTGCACTTTTTCGGAATTCGCCACCAACAGACTAACCGTCCAACCGACCTTGAGTATGCTTATTGTTTTATTATGGTTTCTTTGCATTCTCTCGTTGTTTAAGTTTTTTTTTTGTTTAAATCCAGTTTTCTGTTTCGTCATGCACAATTTTATGGTGTTGGCATTTTTCTGTATTCATTATTGAGTTATGTGCTTTTATGCAAGTTAATTGCTGGACTGTTTTTTTTTTTTAACTGAATATCTGCACTGCTAAGTACGTATGTATATATAAAATTATAAAATAACAAAATATGTATTAGAAAATAAGAGAAAACTTTTTTTTTCACAAAGGAGGGTGTGTGCCATGAATGTAACCAAACGTGTTTTGTGGAATTTGTGGAATTTTCGATGGCGTTACCTCAAACAAATTTGTTCACTGCCTAATATTTTGAAATTTAAAGTTTTGGCCAGATAGCGCAGCGGGTATCTATTTTAATACACATGAAAAACTAAAACGGTTAATTTTTAAATGAAAAATACAACCGACTTCTAAGCTCATTCAAAAATTTAGGAGTACCGTTAATTTATTCATGATACAGTAATCGCAACTTAACCAAATTAGTATGGGATAACCTTTGAAACACTGCCTTTCCAATAAAAATGATCGAAAACGGTAACATACACTCGTGGTCACACTATCCTTATCACCTCTTAAACAAAAAAATAAGTAAAACTACACACTATAACATAAACTATATAAATAAAAGTGGGACAAAATTAAGAAAAAATGTATAAAATTTTCATAAAAATAGCTCAAAATTCTGGTTGATTTTCGGCAATTTTTTTTTTTTGTGGATGGTGTTGCTAATTTTTTCCATACAAAAATGAAATTCTAAAAAACCCGAAAACCCGAACATTTTGATTAAAAAGTTTGAAATTTTGTACAAATTTTAAAACGTTTCCTTATGTACTATATACTTTTTGTTGCGTTTTAAACAATTTAAAAAAATTTATATTAATTTTTTTGAAGTTTGTTAAAAATCTAAAAATTGTAGAATACAAAGTATATATCGACGCCTCCAAACCATACCACGCTAAGTCACCTTAGACTTAGTCCGACTTACAAGAAAGAAAAACTGATAATTTTTGGCTTTAAAATCACACAAAAAAATACCAACATATCTAGAAAAGAACCGAAAAAGTTCTGAAAGAATTTACAGAAACCTATGGAAAATCCTCAGTAAGCAAAAAATAAAATACTTTTTAGTAGCTTTTTTTTAAATTAAAACTTATGAGCTTACAAATATTTAGTTTAGTTTAAAAATATATATGTATGTATGTTTATATATTGATCGTCCTGTTTCCATTTTATCTACCTAAATAAAACAAGTGCTGTTGATTTTTGAAGATCAGTCATTCTATGTAGTGATTGCAAACATACCATTTTTTTTTGATTTTTCGTTTAATTAGTTTAACTCTGCTTTGATAACCTACGTCTGCTAGGCGTATGCTTTTTAAAAATTTCGTTCTTTTTTCGCGAAATGAAGATTGAAATCTTCCATTTTAAATTAAGAACTTTTTTAAATAAAATACATTTAAATATCAAATAACTAAAGATTTTAAGACTTCATATCGTAAAATAAAAAAAATCATAAAAATTTTATTACCATAAAATTATGGCAAGCCACACGTCTCACAGACGTAGTATGGTTATCTTTTCAGCAACTTACAGTAGGGTTATCTTTCTATGGTTAAAGTTCTCCAACTGCTTCATAAACATACCCATATTTCTTGTATTATCCTTTCTCGAAGAATCTCTGCCTCAAAATCACAGTCGTCTTTTTTAAAGCTTCGAGTAGGCAACGGCCTCAAGTTTTCTCGGGCTAAAGCTCCTCGATTCTCGATAATATCTATCGGTAACCCTTGGGGGTCGTTTGCTGCCTTCATCTCGCAGCAGTTTCACTGCATCATTACAAATTCGACTAACAAGGCATCCTGTACTATTTCTTAAAATGTCCTTAGAGCCAAGAAGCTTTTAAAATTTATCTGCCCCTCAAACACATTTTTTTGAGAACAAAATGTTTTATGGTGTTTTTGACCTATCTGTGTAGCAAATTAGGGGCACAACTGAGAGTATTTTTCAACGCTGGCATCATTTCCCATTACCTAGTTAGATTTTGAAAGACTTTTTAAAAATAAAAATTCGGTTGTTGTCATCCTGATGAAATTGGGCGAGGGCGCTGAGTGTTTCGATATTCTAAAATGATACCACTTTCTCTTTTCCA